CCAATGTAACTTCACCCCAGTTCTAAATGAAGACTCTGTGTACAAAGAGATTGCCCAGTAAATGAATTTGAGTTGAGCCTTAGATGTTGAACCTAGGAAAATGCCTGATACGGCAACAGGTAATGGATTCCTTTAACACTGAAAAGTGTCAGCTCTACCAAGTTTCTGTTGTGGTCCCCCAGCGGCCAGCAGAGCTGGCAGCAGAGTCAGACAGTGAGGAGGTTGAGAAGGAACATGGGCCAGTCCTGGGGGGCGGAGGGAAGCTCAGACGATGGCTCAGCGTCGGAGGCAGAGAGGGAGCTAGACAGAAGTGAGGCAGAGGAACAGCTGGAACCTGTTCCCAGTATGCACATGTGCAGAGCTGCCAGAAGAAAAGAACAGCTAAGAAATCAGGGTCGACTTGGGAATAAAGCCACAGGTGAGAGGTGAATGGCCCCTCCCATAGGATATAAAAGAGGAGCGAAAGGGGAGTGGGCTTTTGCAGGAAACCATTCATTTATTAGATTCATTTCAGGAGTGTGAAGATCTGTCCGTGAATCTCAGAGACTCTGTGCCCAATCTTTCCTTGCACAGCACCTCATTTGGAAAATATCTACATGGCAGCTTTCTAAGATAGATAAGGTCTGTAGTCAATTACTCCTTTGAAAGACTGTTTGCTAGGCTTTTGCTGAATGTGAATGAGAGGAATTCACATTCGTTTAATAAAAGGGGTTTTGTCGGGACCAGGACTCTGCCTCCTGCTTTTGGGGGAAGCCTCGATCAGAACAGTTTCCGGTGAAGTCTCCCTCGGTTGACAGTAAAAGGCAAAGATTTCCCTGTCTAGTCCTGTCCGATTCTAGGGTGCAGTGGTCATTTCCATTTATTGGCCAAAGAGCCAGTGTTGTCCCAAGACTGTTGGCTTAGCTTATATCCCAAATGTTTCCATGGTCATGTGGCCAGCATAGCTATGTGTCAAAAACACATGGAAAGTTGTTACTGTACCTTCCCACCAAAGTGGTACCTATTAATCTACTCACACTTGCATGCTTTCGAACTGGCAGGTGGGTAGGAGCTGAGGCAAGGAATGGGAGCTCACTCCCTTGTGCAGCACTCGAACCCAAGCTTTCTGCTTTCTAGCTGACAAGCTCAGCATCTTTAATCTTTAACCTTTGAACCATCATGCCCCCTTCAGAATTTTTAATAGAAGGTGCCAAAGTTGGCAACTGGGATTTTTGCCGCTGGGAAAAATCAGTGGTTTGTCGTTGAACAAGGGTTCCCACCATCCTCTTATCCCTGGAGGATCTAGTCTGGTGGCTAGAGCCACTTGTGCAGAGACTAATGCCAACAAGAAGAGAAAAACAACACAATGGGAAATCCTGCCTAAGAGTCATGGGAGGAGCCATCTAGTTAACTGTAAGAATGTCAGGATTTGTTTTTCTGTGCAAAACTGAGCAAGTCTAGCAAATCTTGGCAAGGAAGCGCTTGGTTTCCCCCATCCCATTTCAAATAAACTATGTTGGTGACAAAGAGAACGTCCATAAATAGGCTTATCTCTGTCTGTTCCTTCTCTTTCCACCCCCTCCACCCCCTACTTTTCCTTTCTAGATCTCCGATGTGATACGGCAGAGCACAAAGGAGTCTCCACTCTGGGAATTCCTCAGTTTAGGCTATGCGCTGATGCTGTGCCCTTTTGTTGTGGTCCTCGGGGGGATGTTTTTCCTGGCCACGGCCCTCTTCTTCCTAAGCGACAGAGCCAAAGCTGAGCAACAGTGAGTACCTCTCCATGGTGTGGGAAAAGGAAAACCACATGTGTTATATTTTTAAAGAAGGGCATTGTCATTGGCCATCTTGGCACTGGTATCCAATTTAACCAATGCGAAGAGGCATGGGTGCACTTCCAATATGAACAGCTTGAAGCTCCGGTTCAAGAAGTTGAGGGTGCGAGATTGTGTGCGTGCAGACTCTCTAATAATGAAAGAGTTACCATTTCCAGATTTGCTAGTAGATCAATCTTTTGAGTCTTTTTTTTTTCAGTCTTTCCCCCCCAGTCTTTTGAGGGACGTGGTGGCTCAGTGGCTAAGATGCTGAACTTGTTGATCAGAAAGGTTTTGCAGTTCCGGTGGTTCGAATCTTTAGCACCACATAACAGAGTGAGCTCCCGTTGACTTGTCCCAGCTTCTGCCAACCTAGCAGTTTGAAAGCATGTAAAAATGCAAGTAGAAAAATAGGGGCCACCTTTGGTGGGAAGGAACAGCATTCTGTGCTCCTTCGGCTTTTAGTCATTCGGTCCACATGACCATTGAGACCTCTTCGGACAGCGCTGGCTCTTCGGCTTTGAAACGGAGATGAACACCACCCCCTAGAGATGGGAAAGAGTAGCACATACTGTATGTGCGAGGGGAACCTTTACCTTTATCTATGGGAGCCTTTCCACCGTTCAGTTGCTTTCTCTCCTTTTCGGTGCACAATATCTAGAAGAAGAGAGATTATAACTCCTTCTTTCTCCTTACTTCTGTTACTGCTGCTTTGTTGCTCCTGATAGTCCATGTGAGGTGTTGTTGTTGTTGTTGTTTTGTAGAAGTGCTATGATGCTGCTTTGGGAGCAAAAGGAGAAGGGGAGAGCAAAGGATGGAGTGATTAGATAGCATCATCAACACACTCAACATACATTTGGGCAAACTCTAGGAGGCAATGGAAGGCAGAGGGGCCCGGCATGTTGTGGTCCAAGGGATCGCAAAGACATAACTTAGTGACTGGACAACAATTATAGTGCTTTGCCGTTGTCTTCTTCCCACTTTTATAGGGGTTCATAAATGCGTGACCCGTCAAAACCGCGATCCACTAAAGCGCACCCGATCAAAGCGTGTACGTGACGTCATCAGCAGCGCGACA